GTGGGGGGTGCGGGTGGGGGGAGGGGGTTGTGCTGGTGGTGTCAGCGTCATTGCAAGTTCCCTTTCTTTCCTGGTAGCACAAGCCACCAGGGTGCGGAAAGCCAAATGCTGCTGGAGCAAAATGTGTAGTTCCTGATGTCCGTAGAGTCAGGTCCTGAGGCTGATGGCCCATCCTAGTGACAGTTACACCAGCCAAGTCTCAGAGAAAGGTTGCAATGTTTCAGTGAGTTTAAAAAAAGGAACTCTTGTTGGTTACTCACTACCCTAATATCCTTATCAACAGGAAAATGGCAAGGCTTCAGTGATGCTTAATTTTGAGAATCAATGGTTGCTAGCCGGAGGGGTATCTCCATTTTACTGCTGTTTGGTGTTTCCTTTCTTGACAAGTTTTGGAAGATATAAATCCTGCTTGGGATGTCAATACAGGAGGACCGCTTAATGCCAGGAGTTCAATACCAGTTTGGGAAACATTGTGAGACCCTGTCTCTTAAAAAGTTAGCCAGGCGTATTGATGTGCACCTGTAGTCCCAGATACTTGGGAGGCTGAGGCAGAAGGATCACTTGAGGCCAAGAGTTCGTGACTGCAGTGAGCCATGATCGTGCCACTGCTGCACTCCAGCCTGGACCAATAGAGCGGAGTCTCTTAAAAAAAAGATAAGCAACCCCATGCACTTTTTGAAAGTGTTACTTCTTGCTACATTTTTATTGATATGATGATATATTTATTTTGAACACAGAAAAGATACATTGTTGCTTATTCAGAGACTAGTCCAGGAACAAGAAAAGCTGTTCAGCTCCATCCCCCCAACACTGACAAATAGGTAGGGATTTTAATCTTTTTCCCCCCCAGCACACTCTAGAGTTACAGAAGCAGAATGCATTTCTTAAAAGAGTCTCATCCCTGGAGTGCATTTTAAAGACTGGACAGTACAACAGACAGATATTTTTTGCCTAGAAAACAGTACACCGTAGCGGTGGACAGAACAGCTTGTAAACAAGGTCCCTCCGGCAGGTGGAGTCTGGGGTTCCAGGATGCGCTTGCAGGGCACTGCAGAACTTCTGGTGGCTCCTTTCAGCTCTGCACCAGAAGAAATGCTCTTTCCACAGTAAGCAGCATTCAAGATCGCCAACCTTGCCACCCTTCTGCTTAAGAAGGGATTACGGAATTGTCTTAGCCCTTCATTGGAGGAACTGAAATGAGGGGAAGAGGATGGGTGGGTGCTGTTTAAGGAGGAGTGACAATGGGGTGGGGTGGTGATGGCTGCTTGTGATGCCAGCGGGGATACTTCTCAGCAGGCTGGGTCTTCAGGAACCACCTCCGTTTCCTGCATAGTCTTTGATGGAAATTGCTGGGGTTGCTTGCCCAAGATCTGAGACTTCCTGCAGCCAGGCAGACCCCATGAATCCCCTTTTGTGGCAGGACGCCAGCAGCAAGGCCCAGACACAATCGCCGGTCCTCTTGTGGTGGCACAAGTGGTATCTTTGGGGCTTAGATCCCCTTCATCGTGTCTCTGCAAACACCCTGGAGGGGCAAGGCGAGTACACATTGCCTCACCATTCCTAGCTAAGAGTGGCCACCCCAGAGGGCAGCACCAGCTCCGGGGCTTGACTCCAGTCCCTTCGAGCACAGGCCACAGTGGTCGCTAGGCAGATTCTGAGCAAGGGTACGCTTCTTTGCCTCAGAGTGGTGCCTAGGCAGGAACGCAGCGAGGCCACCTGGAGAAGGGCAATGGCCTCACCTTCCTTGAAGGCTCTCAGTCCTGGGCAGTGGCTGGACTGACAAGGGAACAGCTGTGACCCACCCTTGTTGCTGTGTGCCTGCCAAGCTTCTGAGAGAACTCCCCTAGCACCACCAGACTGAGGGCACTGGGGTGAGGAGGGGGCCTGGTGGGCTGTGAGGGCCTCCAGGTTGTGCCTGAGCCCCCAGACCCATGTCCCCCACCCTGTAAGTGGCAGGATGGTGACGTTGTGGCTCTTCTGCCCTGGAGTTGAGAGATAGGCACAGCAAACAGCAGAATCTCACTGGGGCCTGTCCCACTCTCAGGGGGACAAGCTGGCCCTGGGGTGAGCATCAGGGCAGGCAGCTGACCTGGGTGGTCGAGAAGTTTCTGGAGGCAGAATCAGAAATCGGGCACAGCCTGCTGGGTGAGGGTGGGAACAGGCAGGCCCGGGGAGAGGAAAGAGAAGGCCTCATTTCCTGCTTCCCCTTTCTTCCCCCAGTACCAGCCACAGAGGCACAACCAGTGGGCTGGGGAGGAGGAGTCGGGAGGTCAGGAGAGCCTCACTTTTACTGCGACCTTTGCAGGTGGTTTTTGTGTGGGTGTGGTGGGACTGTGTGTGTGCACATGTCTACGCATGTGTGCGCACACGGAGTATGTCAGTGTATATGTCTGTGTATATTTGAGTATCGCGTGTATGTGATGTATCATGTGTGCCTCTGTGTGTGTGTGTGCCCGTGTGTGCGTGCCCAGGTGGTACAACCGCATAGGGCAGGACCTGGCCACTCACACAATCCTCTCTGGGCCAGAGGCTGGGGCCCGAGTGGGGGTGGGAGAGCCTGGAGAGCTCCTCGGCCCTGGTCCTGGTCCTGGCAGCGGCAGCAGGCCCGATGGGGGGCTGGCCCCACACACGGCCTCGTAGGGGGGTAGGGTGTCCATGGAGATGGTACGGAGGCCGCCCTGGCCTGGGGTCCTCTGCTCCTGCTGGTGTTGGCTGGGGCTGTGGTCGCTGCTGGAGCTGAGGGCACCATCCAGCATGGGGCAGGAGTCAGTCAGTGAGTAGGGTGGTGGAGCATCCGTGGGGATGTACAGCTGAGTGGCCCCTGGCCCCACACACTCCTCATAGCTACAAGAGAAGAGGCCCCCTCAGTGTCCCTTGAAACCTTAGAGGTGCATGTGGGGTCTCTCCGTAAGGGCCGGGGCCTCTCTGTAGTGACAAGCTGCCCTGGCTGTGGAGCAGAGCAGGCCTCGTCCGTGCTGGCTCCAGGGAAATCCCCACTGCCTCCCCCCAGTGCTGGAGGGACACCTCAGAATCCCTGAGATCTGGGTTCTGGACCTGACTCAGCCCCCATGTTCCATGTGAACTCCAGCAAATCACTGAACTTTTCAGGGTCTCAGCTGCCAGAATGGCAGTGGCCACTGTCCAGGGAGTGTCTCCTCAATGGAACACCCTGTGTATGGGGGCTGGGCAGGAGCAGCTTCAGGCTACCAGACGCCCCTTGGTCTCCAGTCACCCCAAAGCTGTGCCTCTAAGGGTAGGAAAGAGTCCCCGGGTCCCTCTGAACCTGTTGATGCAGAACGAAAAAGCACCCACTGTCTCAGAGAGGGCTGACAGCACTGCCCCACCTGGTGCTGGAGACAGGCTGGTGTTGAGGATGTGGCCATTTGTCCAGGCTAGAGGGGTCTCCTGGTAGTGATGTGGCAGAGACTTTGACCTGTCTTCCCTCCTTTTTAAAAAAGTTGTAATTTAATATTATTCAAAATAAAGATGGGGTCTTGCTATGTTGCCCAGTCTGGTCTCTAATTCCTGGCCTCAAGCGATCCTCCTGTCTCAGCCTCCCAAAGTGCTAGGATTACAGGCATGAGCCACTGTGTTCAGCCCCTCTTCTCTCTCCAAGTACTGACTGATAGGTGGTTTACCTGAGGGTGGCTGGCAGGGGAGAACCCAAAGGCCCCTCAGATAAGAACTCTCCACTGGGATAGGGCTGCCTGATGGCCCTGAGTACAGTTTGGACACAATGACTGTCTCAGTGGATGTGATCACAGGACCTGGGGTCTGGATCCCTGCACCAAGAACAGGGACTAATGTCCACTGAGCCTCCATCTGTTTCTTTCTCTTCCCACTGCCACTGTGTCCGGGCAACCAGGAGCTATGGGCATAACTCTCTTTCTCCCTTCTCTGAGGGGAGCCTGTCCCTATCCCCAAGGCCAGTCTCTACCTTGGTGGCTGCAGAGACCCCAGGGCTAGTCAGGCTTAGTCAGGTCCCTGTCGCCTGGCAGTTTTCGATGGGGTGTGTGTGTGTGTGTGTGTGTGTGTGTGTGTGTGTGTGGAGAGAGAGAGAGAGG